AACTGAGGCAAAGAGAGAGTAAGGGTTTAACTCACAGTGACAGTTTTGGAATTCAGCCTGGGTTTTCACACCTCTGTATTTTTACACGTCCATATCTGGTTGTTTTTTGCTGTCCTCGGGACATAGAAGACTTAAGCCAAAAGTAATTCATATATTGCACTTATTTAATTTGTATAATTATAAAAGATCCCGTGTATCTGACAAGCAAGTTTAGAACCTACTATCAAATCTGTTAAGCTGGGTGATCGTCAAAATGATGTTTTTGAAGAAAAGTTCTTGGTGCTGGGAGGCTGCCAAGGGGCCTTGGTGGTGGGATGGCTCTTTGGTCAGCACAAAGCCCCTGGGCAGGACTAGGAAAGGGGTCTTGTAGCTGTTGGGTTGTTTTGTCCTCCTGTGCGCTTCTGTGCAGAGGACTTTGAGTGTATAACACTTGTATGGGACAGGTGATTATTTCATGTGCAAGTGTCTGGATCTTTTCCTCTTGGTCACCTGACCTGGCTGGATTCAATGGGGGCTCCAGGTGGTTCTGCCCAAGAAGCCAAGCTGTGGGTGCTGCTGGAAGTCTGGATGAACTGAGACATGGGAAGGCACATTCAGCTGTGGTGTCCCTGCTCATGCTTTCCCCCTTTTGCACTTAATCGGGGATATTGCTCTCCAGAATTGTCAATTCAGCCTTTCAATGACTACTGACATAACTAAATCTCTCTATACTTAAGGACTGAAGCATTTTAAACATGGGGTTGGGGCCAAAGGGGTAATCCATTGACACAGCAGTCCGTCCTACAGTTGATTAGCCTTGTCATGGTTTTGATTGTTTTGTGGTGTTTCATCACTAGCCATTAGAATGTTCAAACTCTGTTAGACTGCACTGTTATAAGGATGATGAAAAAGTCTTCTGGGAATCTTGCTTTTGCACTGAAGTTTGCAGAGTCTTCTAGATAAACGGTTCTGTTTTCTTCCCATATTTTCCCCTAGCAAAAAGGATCATAGCAACCTAAAAATAGAAATGTACAAAATTAGTGAAACATTGAAGTTATAAAATCAGATACTCAAAGATCAGGAATTTGAGAGGGGGAAGAAATCAAGATCTTTATGAAGTTCATCATCATGGGCTTTAGTTTCTATTTCTGTATTGTTTTCTTTAATGTAGCTATTCGTGATAGGATTTTAAAAACAGCCTGAAGAAAGTAATTACTCGTTCTCTGAGAATCATTGGTCATGAGACACCTAAACTCTTTGGGCTCCTGTGAAAATGCCAGCTCCATGCAGTAAAGGTTTCTGTAAATTGTATAGCTGGTGCAATTTAGCTCAGCTAACTCTGCAATTAAGTTCTCAATATTTTCATATCTGGGAATTTAATCTGTAATATTACAATTGGATTGCAGCACAAAAGAAGTGGCAAATCTGACTCATGAGTCTTTCTTACATTTTATTAGGAGTGTATCAGAGGAGAAAAAACCAGCCTTGATTGGAAAAAAAATTGAGCAGACAGGACTAACTCGGCTTTGAAATGTGTGAATAGCCAGTTTATAAGGGATTTCATTCGAGCATTCAATGAACAGGAAAATAGGTGTCCTCTTCTAAAGATGATGTGCTTGTTATTCACTGCATCGTTGGCTCCTGATTGAGGGGAAGGGTCTTGGGCCAGACTTGTGCACTGCTGTGTCCTTGTTGTCTTGAAGAGATTGACCTCCTGTCACATTGGTTTTTGGTAATGTGCTGGCATGGTAAAAGCCCTGCTTTAAGGAGGGACATCCTCTTGTGGTTGGCTTTGAGGGTAGGAAGGGAGAATAAGGGAAGTTCGGATATTGCAGTTTTGCTTCAAACAAATAGGCTAAATGATATTTATAGCAACATCTCAGCTAAGTTTGGGTAGTCCAGTTGTTTAGAGCAGCAGCAAGTCAGGAGCATACATGACTCTAAGGAGGTCGGCCCTGCCCTCCTCCTCTGATGCTGCTTTAAAGAAGTGAAAATGTCAGAAGAGGGCAAGAAAGCACAGGGCAAAAGTCTCCATGGAACAGAACTTTCTTTTCTGAGCCCAGTTCTGATCTTACTGGCTTGTGTACCTCTCAGAGCAAGTTATAACATCTCCTTCAGAGGAAGGGTACGTAGGCTGCCTGACCTTGTCAACATTATCCCCAGCCTTTTATAATAAATGATAGAACCCACAGGAAATCCTAGGAGGTCACCACTTCCTTCCCCTCTCACAAATCTTGGGAGTGTAGTGTTTAAGAATCCATAAGATGTTTCTCTTGGCTTTTCAAATATCATGGATAATCTAGAATTTTATGGCTTGGGACAAAATTTAGATGAAACTTAAGCTATAAAAGTTAGAATAATTTACATGCGGCTGTGGAATATGGACTTGTGAAGAAAAGCAGAAGTTATAAGGAAAAATAAAAAAAGAAATGGATAGTAATTGAATTTAACCAGCTTAGTTTTCATGTCTACATTAGTGTAGAATAAGTATCAGAAAGTCTGCATTTTTGCAACTTTCTTGTTAGTGATACTTGTTAATAATAACAGTACAGAGACTAAAGTGGGTGTCAGTGCATAATCTGTGTCTTATAAGTACTTGTATTTTATTTTCCAGTGAAGTAAAAAAGTAATGAAAAGGGCAATCTCTTAAAAAAAAAAAAAGTAAGATTTTGGCATTAGTTGTCTATTTTAGTTTCATGTGAAGAGCTAGAGCCCTGTTTCTTACTCTTAGTGATAGAGCAGGACTGTGGGGTAAAGGAACAATTGTGAATGGCAATGCTGAGCTCTTGTTGTTTGGTCCAAGGGAGAACAGTGATGTGGCCAGATCAAAAAAGGCCCTTCCAACTTTTTACAGGTGAGCAGCTCCTTGACATAGAGTAGGAGAGAACAGCATCTGAATCTCCCAGTTGTAGGACATATTTTTTTGTAGGAACGTACACATTGACAAACTTCCTCCAAAATTTATGTGTGGAAGCTGGATCACCCTC